CGTAGTAGTCGTAGTGGTAGTAGTAATACCATTAGTAGTAGCAGGAGTAGTAGTAGTATTAATAGTCGTAGTAGTGGTAGTAGTACTGATGGAAGAAAAACTGATAGTCGCAGTAGTGGTAGTAGTAGTCGCCGAAATAATAGTAGTCGTGGTAGTGGTAGTGGTAGTAGTAGCATTAGTAGTGGTGGTGGTTCTCGTAGTAGTAGTAGTAGTACTACTACTACTACTACTATTATTACTACTACTACTACAGCTACTGCACCTAAGACTAGCGGTGGTGGTAAACGCAACCAGTAATAGTAATAATAGCAGCAATGGAAACAATAGGAACAGTAGCAATAGGGGGAGTAGTAATAGCAGCAGTAATCGCAATCGTAGCTGTGAAAAAAGTAAGCACCGAAGTAGTCGTAGTCGCGGTCGCAGTCGCCCTCGTGGTCGTAGACGTAATAATAAAAATAATAACCATCATGGTCGTAGTAATAGTGGGAGTAGGAGTAGTAGTAGTAGTAGTAGTAGTAGTCGTAATAGTAGTAGTCATGGCAGTAGTAGTAGTAGTAGCAGTAGTAGTCTAGGTAATAGTGGTAGTAGTAGTAGTAGTAGAAGAAGAAGAAGTAGTAGTAATAGTGTGGTAGTAGTAGCCGTAGGAATAGTCGTAGTAGTAGTAGTAGTAGTTGTTGTAGTAGTAGTAGTGGTAGTAGTAGTAGTAGAAGTAGTAGTAGCAGTAGTAGTAGTAGTAGTCGTAGTAGTCGTAGTCGTAGTCGTAGTAATAGTAGTGCTAGCAGTTGTCGTAGCACTGGTAGTAGTAGTAGTAGCAGCAGCAGTAATCGTAGTAGTAGTGGTAATCGTAATCTTCGTAGTAGTAGCAGTAGTAATATAGTGATAGTAGCAATAGTAGTAGTAGTAGTAGTAGTAGCAGTAGTAGCAGTCGTAGCGGCAGAGTGTTACTAGTAGTAGTAGTAGTAGTAGTAGTAGTAGTAGTAGTCGTAGTAGTAGTAATAGTAGTGGTAGTAGTAGTAGTAGTAGTAATAGTAGTCGTAGTAGTAGTAGTAGTAGTAGTAGGCATGAAAGAATCAGTAGTCGTAGAATTAGCACTAGTAGTAATAGTAGTAGTCGTAATATTAACAGTAGTAGTAGTAGCAGCAGCAGCAGTAATAGTAATAGTAGTCGTAGTCTTACAAGAAGTAGTAGTAGTAGTAGTAGTAGTAGTAGTAGTAGTGATGGTGGTAGTAGCAGTAGTAGTAGGAATAGTTGTATTAGTAGTAGTAGTAGTAGGAGTAGTAGTAGTCGTAGTCGTAGTCGTAGTAGTAGTAGTAGTAGTAGTAGTAGAAGAAGAAGTAATACTAGTTGCAGCAGTAGTAGCAGTAGTAATAGTAGTAGTCGTCGTAGTAGTAGTAGTGGTGGTGGTGGTGGTGGTAGTAGTAGTAGTAGTAGTAGTAGTATGAGTATGAGTAGTAGTAGTAGTAGTAGTAGCAGTAGTGGTTGTAGTAATAGTGTGTTGTTCTTTACCAAGACTGTTGCAGGCCCTGCCCCCCCCCCCCCCCCCCAGTGGTCGGCGGGGGGGGCGGTGCGCAGTGAGGTGGGGCCGTCCTAATATATCGATGTATGTTTGCGTTCTCCGCTCAAGTTCTTTGGCTCGAGCATGCCCGCATAGGGTCGCGCGGGCGAGCCCGAGGTTTTCTTCCGCGCCTCGCCGCGCGGCAGTGCCTCTTGCCATTCGAGCTGCTCGACGTGCTCCTCGCGGGAGCTGATCGAGGTTGGCCCGCGCTGCGTTCGCAGCTCCCTCGACCCAGCGGGCTGCGCGCTAGAGGCGAGCTGCGAGACGGCGCGGCTCGGTCGCGGCTCGTCCGGCCCGCTGATCTGGTCGCTTTTCGCCCTGGTGAGCGACCCGATTGTGGAGCAGGAGGGCGAGGGCGAGCTCGACGTGGTCGAGATTCAGATGCCAGTTGAGCCATGGTCTCGCAAGTTCTATCGTCAGACGGCGAACGATGGCGTGGGGGCGCAGCTGGTTCGGAGGAAGAGCGGGGACATCTGCGTGGTTCTCACGCCGGACTTGGGGCTCGAGCTGATCTGCGCCACCGCGAAGACGCCCATCTTCGGGGGCCCAGTGGCGGGCATCCGGTGGAGGCCCATGCCGCCGATGAGTGCAAGCCATTGCGATGCCTACCTCCAGCGGGCGACAGAGGGAGCGCGTGCGGGGACGGCCCCTATGCCCCCGCTCTACCGCCCTGGTCGAGCTGGTCAGCAGGCGATCGCCGTGAACGTGCTGTATGCGATGTGCAGCTCAGGTGCGTCTTCTCTCAAGACTTTGAGGTGGTCTTCGAGGAGTCCGAGACGCTTCCTGGGCGCGCTGGCCGCCTTGTTCGTGCTGCACGGAGCTCTGGCCCTGCTGGGTGCCATCGAGTGCATGAAGGAGGTGTGGGTTGCTCTTCTGAGCTACCTCATCGCGTCGAAGGGTCCTTTCGTGGAGAGCTCGGGCGTCGTGCAGGAGTGGGTGAGCTGC